GCCTTGACTATTCCTGTTTTTCTTGTGTCTTTTTTCTTTCTGGTACTCTTATGTTCTTCACATGCCCACATATCTTTGATTTTTCCACTCACAATGATGAATAGATTTATTTGAGGTATTTGGTGTGAGCTTCCTTTGCTGTTGTTTATAAAAACTTGCTTTCCTGCCTCCTCTCTCTTGAGTGGTACAGTTCATTGACAGTTCTGTTGGCAATTGGAGGGTTTATTGATGGATTTAATCCCCTGTGGTTTAATGATGAGATTTCAGAAGTTAAATGGGGGACATTCAATTACCAAAATGAATTTAATATTCTTTTGGCGATCCTAAACCAAAACTGGTTGCTTTCATTTTATCTATATCCTCTCTTTTATTTAGCAAAGTAATGTCTCTATTGTTTTGGTCAGGGATTAATGCTACATTGTCTATTTAATTTCCATGATAGTGAGTTGGACTCACATGCACAAACTTTCAAAGAATTCTGAGGTATTATCTCTTGTTCTCCCACTTGCCTTCTGTGTGCGCTCTTTATGTTACCAGCTCTGAAGATGGATTCTCTCTGTAGTGTCTGGGGAAATCAGCTTCTACCATTATTGTAGTTGATTTCTAGTATTCTTGGACTGTGGTATTTTTCTGCTGTTTCCTTTACTATCTCTTGTTATCAGTTTATTGCCTTTCAGAGAATTATTCTAATAACTTTTAGGTTTATTATTATAGATGCAATAATGGTTTAACACTCAGGTAATGAATTTGGCAAGAACCTTCTTAAAACTTGCTTCCTCCAGTTATTAGCTTTGTGAATTTAGGAAAGTTATTTAAGCCTCTTAAAAATATGATTAACTTTTCTGTAGAGTAGGGATAATGATAATAATGTCTAACATATAGGATTATGTTAGCATTAACTAAGGCAATATATATCAAGTTTAGTTTCTGGGGACTAGTAAACACTTAATATTACTACTATTAACAACATTATGAGTACTGTAATTTTAAATTTTTTAAACAGGCAGTATAATATTAGCTTTTGTATTTTAATTTGTTATAACATTACATACAAATTATGTAATACAGGTGATGTAAACATTTACCCACATAGCTTATAATATATGTCAATACAACAAAAATAGCATATATGTGTGCAACTACGCATTTCATGTGTTTATCAAATTTCATGGTTCTGCTGAAAAATTCTAATTTTAAGATCAGCTGTGGGAAAATAATCCTTGTTGGCATTTATGGGACTTTTCTCACCTTTCTGTTTTTTCTGCAGTCATTTTCTATGGAAATTTATTGGCAGCATTTATAGATGTTCTTCATGTATTTTATCAGCCCAAGCAGTGTGTGTGTGTGTGTGTGTGTGTGTGTGTGTGTATATATATATATACACACATGTATATATGTCTATATACATATATATACATATATATGTATGTATATAGACATATATATACTTTTTCCATTGTGTGTGTGTATATATATGCTTTTCCAAAGCGTGTGTGTGTATATATATATATGTATACTTTTTCCATTGCCCAAGTTGGTCTCTGTTACAATTAATATACTATCAATGCTTTATAGAAAATAGACATAATAAGGATTACAAAGAATACTGAGATACTGATTTTCAGGATGAAAAGATAAGGGTTAATTGGTTAGTTTAGAAATCAATTGGTCAGTTATTTAGGAGTTTGTGGGGGTAACTGAATTCTGCTTATTTTTCAACTGATGAATTGGGGTTTATGGAGATTCACTGATTTTTTTTCTTACAACTTAGCATTTTTGAACTACAAGTATAACAATAAATGGTTCAACTACAATCATTACATCATCAGCAACAAGCCTGCCAGGATCCACATAGGGTAAAAGCAAAACAACACTAAAGCTAAATGAAAGACTAATGTGGATTATCCTGTAACCACCTTTCTCATATCATCATGTGATTGTAATTTTAACTTTCTTTTTCAGTTTGACATTCTTCTTGGTCAACATAATGATGAAATGGAGGAACTATCAGGCAATATGAAGGAAGAATCTAAATCTCAAAACAGCAAAGATAGAGTGATTTGTGAGCTAAGAGCAGAGGTAAGACACTGGGTAAAGAGTGCCATATGTATTAAAACATAACTGACTGTTGTTAGATGCCATGCTATTTTAAATGGGGTAATGGAGGTGCCTTTGGTTAGTTTATGAAAATAAATGCTGCTGCTAATGTAATCAGCTTATATATGATTTAAAAGGCTGTGGAATGACATTGGCCCATAACTAGATCTGAATTATTTGAATATAATAAAGGTAAAATCTTTGACTATAAAACTATCTTGTGGCCGATACAAGTCTTACTGTGCATAAATATTTTTTAAAAGCTCAACCAGCTGCTGGATTGTGTATGTTCATTTATTTCAGAACCAATGACATACAAGATATGTGACATGCAATTTCTGGTGAAATTAACATTGCTATTGGAAGCTAACAACAGTGAGAGATAAAATAAATCCACCTTTGTTATAGTTAATTCATTTCTTAGGCATACCAAGTAGTGAAAACATTTATTTTCCACTCCTGCCACCATCAACAATAAATGAATTTTCAAAAATGTGTAAACTCTGAATGTTTTATTCTGTTCTGTAGCTAAAAAAGGAATTATTGTCCTTGTAGAAAAGAGAAGGGATTGAATTATTTGTACTTCATAGAAAATAGCATGATAGCATTAAAAATGGAAAATCACAAATTATTTGTTTTTGGACAGATAATTATGAGAAAATGTCTTAGAAACAAATGTGTAAGAGCAATTTACAGACTGAAATGAATTTAGTGCAACTGTGGGCTGGTGGAAAACTAATCTGTAGTAGGTTTTCTTCTTTATATATCTCTTCAAATTCTGAATTCGTATCAGAGTGTATTTATATCAGATGAATATAGTGCAATGGGAAATATACAGATTTTGGAGCTACAAATGGCTCCATCACTTTCTGATTACTTTTTTCTGGTCAACTCCTTAAGCGTCTCTGAGTCTCAGTTTCCAGATTAAAATAATAGTAATAATAATAGTAATAATAGTCATGAAACGGGATTTTGGAAAATGTATATACTGCAAAGGAACATTTGTCTGAGACAGAGTGCCCTAGTATTGGAACTTACAGCTATGCTGTTTAGGATAATTATATCCTCCCTGCGTTCCTCCTCATTACATCAATGCCATCCCTTAACAGCTCTTCCATGTATCCTAAAAGGGGTGTTGGGGTAAGAGGGCATATATCAAGAGGTCCATTATGATAAAGGCTGAACTACTTAATACAAATCTTCCTGAGTCAAAGGGAAATATTGGTGGCTTTCATAACTCTTGTTTTCTAAGAAGAATCAAACTATCAGGACAGGTACCTCTTTTTTTTTGACCCTCAGCTCTGAGAAGCATCTTTCATTAAACATTGCACAGCATGTTGTATAAAAGCTTATTTAATAGTTAATGGCACAAAAGGAGGAAGGGACATATAGATATTTATTATAACTTTTCTCAAAAGCCAAGAACATTATGTATACACGTTATAGGTTCACAGCAAAATTGAGCAGAAAGTACACAGTTTGTACATACCTCTGTTCCTCCAGAGACTCCTCCACAAACATCATCCTTCATCATTGTTGTATGTTTATTATAACTGATAACAAACTGACACATTATCAACCAAAGTTCATAGTTTACATTAAGGTTCACTCTGTGTTGTACATTCTATGAATTTTGACAATTGTATAATAGCATATATCCACCATGTTAGTATCACACAGATACTAAACAAACACTGTATAGAAATATACTTTTTTGCAACCTGTTTGTTTACATAAAATGTATCACAAGTTCTTATGCTTACATAAAAGTAATTGTGCAATTGCACTATAATTTAATTAAAATATAATCTACTTTAAAAATTATCATTTTTAGATATATAACACTACAGTAAGTATGCATACATACATAAATCATTGGACATTTAAAAATGGCTTAGGGTATATTCCTAGAAAATAGCATGGCTTGGTCAACATTATATTTATTTTTTAAATCTTTATACACATTGCAAATTGTTCTATTAGAAAAATTGTATCATTTTACATTCTCAATAAGTAAAACTAAAATCTCTAAATATTATGTGTAAAGCAAATAGTGAAAAAGACTCAAAGTTGGAGAGAAGAGGTATATCACCTAAGATACCTGATAAGTGAGAAATGGCATGCTGATGAGTTTTCTGGGTTTTTGTCACATATATTCCAAAATTAGAACTGAAGAAGCCAGAAATCTGGAAACACCAACAGACACAGATTAATACACAAAAATACCTAAAATGAAAACACAACCTAAGTCTGCTTGCTCTAGCGAAAGTACTAAGGAAGAAACAATGTAACAAGACAGAAAACTTTTAAGACAATAATGCTCTACTCGAGCCCAAATCACAGAAAACTGACCCCACCCCATGCCTGTTAGCTAAATCCAGGTGTGGAACCTGGACTTCTATATATACATCTGGAAGTTACAAGGCAATGCTTTCCTTTGACTTTCAATTGTGGTGTCACAAGAACCCACCCCAAACAAAATGTTAGATAAAATCCAAATCTCATGACATATTTCACAAAGTATCCAGGATACAATTGGATATTACTCATCATACCCAGAACCAGAAAAATTTGAAGTGAGTGAATGAAGACAATTGATAGATGCCAACACTGAAATGACAAAGATGTGTTTATTATTTGCAAGGATTATAGAGTGGACATCATAAAAATGCTTCAGGGAGAAATTGTGAATACACATCAAATAAATAAAAAATAGAAATTTTCAGTAAAGAAATAGAAGGTCTCAGCAAATAAAAAAATTTCAATAAAGGAACAAATGGAAAAACTAAAACTGAAAAATGTACAGAATTTTTAAAAAATCTGAATGTAGAAGACAGAGGAAAGAGTCAGTGAACTTGAAGATAGATGAATGGAAGTTATCCTATCTGAATGACAGAAGAAAATAGGCTGTATTTTAAAAGTAAAGCCTCAGAGACCTGTGGGGCGATTAAAAAAAAATTACATTCATGTCATTGGAGGCCAGCATGAGAGGAGAAATAGTATGGGGCTGATAGTACAAAAAAAAAAAAAAAAAGGAAGAAAACTTCCCAACTGTCAAACAAAAGTGTCAAACCTAGAGTCAAGAAGTTTAGTGAAACCCAGACAGCATAAACCAACAAATATTGATATGAAGACACATCATAGTCAAACTTAGGGAAAATAAGGAAAATAGTCTTTTTTTTTTTTTTTTTTTGGAGACGGAGTTTCGCTCTTGTTACCCAGGCTGGAGTGCAGTGGCGCGATCTCGGCTCACCGCAACCTCCGCCTCCTGGGTTCAAGCAATTCTCCTGCCTCAGCCTCCTGAGTAGCTGGGATTACAGGCATGCACCACCATGCCCAGCTAATGTTTTGTATTTTTAGTAGAGACGGGGTTTCACCATGTTGACCAGGATGGTCTTGATCTCTTGACCTCATGATCCACCCACCTCGGCCTCCCAAAGTGCTGGGATTACAAGCGTGAGCCACCGTGCCCGGCAGAAAAATAGTCTTAACAATAGCTAGAAGGAAATTACAGTGTATATACAGGGGAAAATGTCCAAATAACAGTGTTTATCACATCAGAAACTCTAGAAGCCAGAAAGAAGAGGCACACAATTATTGAAGTTCTAAAAGTGCTGTCAACTCAAAATACTATATCCACTGAAAATATCCTTTATGTCATTCTCTGATGAGGAGAACTAAGATAAATTGTCTCTAGCAAATAGGTACGTGAAAAGATGTTCAACTTATTAGCTATAAGGAAAATGGAAATCAAAACCATGATGTGATGTAACTATACACCTATCAGAATGGCTAAAATCAAAATAGCAGCAATACTAAGTGGTGGTAAGGATGCACAACTACTGAATTACTCACCTATTGCTACAGGGAATGTAAAATGATACAATCACATTGGCAAATAGTTTGACAGTCTTCAAAACTGCAACTACAATATTATCAAGCAATTGGATTCCTGGGAATTGACCTCATAAAAATAGAAGCTTATTTCACACAAAACCTATAGGTAAACTTTGAGTATTTTATTTGTAAATGCCAAAACTTAGAAACAATACAGGTGATCTTCATGGGGTAAATAATTAAGCGATTACATCCATACCTTGAAGTACTTCTGAGCAACAAAGTAGAATGAACTCTTGATACATGCAACCATCTGGATAAATCTCTTGAAGTATAGTGAGTGAAAAATATTCCTAAAGACTACATAGCCCATGATTCTATATATGTATATAATATTTTTAATGTGACAGCATTTATAAATGGCAAACATGTTAATGGTTTCCAGGAATACAGGAGTGAAGGGAGTGGATGGTGTGGCTAAAAAACAGCCACGTGATGCATCCTTGTAGTGATGGAAGCATTCTGCATTTGACTATATCAACTTCTTTGTATCGAAAACTGTATTATTGTATCATTGTCCATGTCTGGTTTTGGTATTTTACTACTGTACTGATGTTTAACAGCTTACATAAAGGATTCATTCATTCCTAAATGTAAGGTACTAAAAATTGCACACAGTAGTAGACACTCAACGAGTTCTAGAATAAGAATGTAGATCCTGGTCTCTTGGGTACCAAAGATGAATTTCATGTGCCTTTTACCATTGAAGGGGTAAAAGGCACATGGCATTTATCTTTTCTGTCAACTGCCTATGAATTGACAGTTAGTCAAAAATGAAAATTTAATTCAAACGTTCTAATCCTTTTTTGAAATGTATGCTGAGCTTTACCTTTTCCACATACGCCTCTGAAAAAAAATGTATCCCTTACTTCTTACCACTTAGGGATGCAAGAGACCTGGACCTAGGTTCTCTTCCTGGGACTATCCAGTGTCTGACATCCCCAAAATTAGATAGGTGTTTCTGAGTGTTTGCTTATCTGGAAAATGGTGTTTAATTAACAGTTAATCTAAAACATTAATTCATTCATATATATAAAATACCAAAATTTATACACATATATAGTAGGCACTCAATAAATACATGT